ATAATAAATTTCAAATTTTATCTTATACATATCAAACAATTTATTTTTAGTTTAGTACTTAAATTTTGATCAAACAACTTTTTAATTCAATAAATTTAACATTCAATTTTCAATACTTAATATTGTATTTTCAACTTTATTAAACATTACCTGAGGCCAAACCTTATCATAAGACAGAACTATAGTCGGAAAATATAAGTAGAGTAATCTACCTAAAACTCTATCTTTTGTAACAGATTGATGTGTTTCCAAAATTGTTTTATGTAGTCAGTTTTGTAAAAATGGCATAGGCAAACAACCGTAAAAGAATTCTGGAAAACTCAAAAAGATTGAGCAGCGAGAGGAGGGGAATGAACAGAAAATGGGTAGGCAGAAATGCAGAGAGAGAAAGGGAACATAAAGAGAAAAGGAGCGAGCATCTTAGCTTGCAAGCCGAGACTGGAGAGCAAAAATAACCTGTTAACAGCCCGTTAGAAAGAATTCTAGATGATGAAAACAATTTTGTTCAATGATAAAAATATAAAAGTTTCTGAGTTAAGCTCTCAATTTGGGCCCATGAAAGTGGTGGCCCTTTAAACATTATGCAAGCAAGCCATATGACATAATTGTATGTGCATAACAACCAATTATTTGAGATGTTCCTTCAAGGTAACAACACAAAATTACACCCATAGCAACTCACTTCAGTCATGGTATTAACTGGAAAGGTGTAATTTGATTTGTAGGGTTTACCATTGGCTTCAATTTGATAAAATATGACATAATTGTATATGCATAATAATCAATTATTTGAGATGTTCCATCAAGGTAACAACACAAAATTGTACCCATAGCAGCTCACTTCAATCCTGGTATTAACTGGAAAGGCGTAATTTGATTCGTAGGGTTTACCACTAGTTTGAATTTGATAAAATAAGTTAATTAATTTCATCATGTTTATTGTTAAGAAATGAACAGTCTATTATAAAATTATGCTTATCATTTCTTTACTTTTAAATCAAATATGATAAAAATCATATAATTACAATTTTTATATAAATTATTATTTTTTCAATAGATAATATATCCAAAACAATCCTACAAAATGAAAGACTCGTGTCATTAAAGTGAGACGCGTGATGAACTTCACAAACCAGACTACAAAATTAGATGATGAGCTTAACTCATAATTTTTTTATGCTCTATACTAAATAATCATATGAGCTAATTATATGTTTTCATCATCTACATACCATGTACAGAAAATTAAGAAAATATAACGCACACACATAAATAAGAAAAAAAGTCATCATTTCTTTGTTGATATTACCGTTCGATGTAAGTCTTCATCCACCTATAAATGAGAGAAAAAGCATTTATTAGAAAAAAATTAGATATGATAAGTTTAAAATAAATAAACAAATAGGCCTTACATTATAAGAGAGGTATTTAAATTTCTATGGAGGGAGGAAAAAAAAAAAAAAAAAGAACACTTGACCGAAAATAGTGATATTGTTCATAACTGTTGTACTTCAACCTGAAATGTTTGGTTATATAATTATGGTTGTTCGATGATGTATTTTAACAATCACATTAAAATGATAAAATTAAAATCAACCCTAGCAACATGAAGAGTATTAAAATGGAAACACAACAATTGTTCAAATTTGAACTCTTCTTTTCCCCAATTGACTTCAATTTTATAGTGTTGAAATTAAATTTATCATTATCATTTAGAAAGTCCAAACATAAATGTATGCCAAAAAAAAAAAAAAAAAAAAGAATGTTTAAATATCTCTTTCTTTCGTATTTTCTCTTTGGGTCTTTTGCCATGAGTATCTACATGTCCAAACATGTGTATATTAATGTATTTATAAATAATAATATTTGTATGTGATATTAAATATATGTGCATATGTATAAATGTATCATAACTTATACTCACACATTTGTTTTTAAATCGTTGTTCAATTTATTTTGTTTAATTGATTGGTCCTTTATACAATACTATTTCACAGAATTTGTTCTTGAAATCCTTCTTAACTATATTGATTTTAAGTTAATCTTCTCTCCAAATGTTTATCATTCAAAATATATCACTCAAAATTTCAAATCTCATTAAAAAAAAAAATTTGTGGTGTAGGGGATGAAGGATTTTAAAATTTTGAAACACGTAGGAGGCACCATGCGTCGTATTCATTGAGTTCATTTGATTTTAAGCGATTTTTATTGTATGAAATAAATTCCTATCCCATATAGGATTGACTAATCTATATATATATACAATATATTACGCAAAGAAAAATTTTACTCCCCCAATTCCACCCCAATAATGTGGAATTAGTAGGGTTAAAGATGAGAGAGAGGGAGAGGAGTGTGAGACCGCTTTACATGGGTCTTAGCGACGTCATTGGGGTTGAAATTAGGGTCCTCAATTAGGAAATGTGACATCTCTCTTAAGAAAAGCGGACTTTTCATTAGTTCCTAAGGATTAATCTAAATTTCTTAATTTTTAAATTTTTTTTAAACATTAAGAAAGATACATGGCACACAAAGATCAGTCCATCTAATCATATCTATGATTTTGAAATTCAAAAAAATTAATATAGAATTTTTTTAAAATAAAAATCCATATCTAATTCGAAATTTAAAAAACTTTGAAGGAAATTAACTTTAGTCTTATATCAAATTTTAAAAATATTTACTTCAAAATTTTATATATTTATTTTTGAAAACTAAACAGTACATGTGGTGTCTAAAAAATTAAGAATTTTTTAGCCGTTAGAATATTTATAGCAGATTTATTGATTAAAAAAGAAATTTCGCATGGCACATGTAAACATAAATTAAAAAAATATATGTGTAAATGTAAATTTTTATGTCACAACAAAAAATACATATGTCGTGTTTAACCATATATAAGCCTTCTTTTAAAAATTAAAAATTAAAAATATGTGGTATAAGATATACATGGTAAAAACTATTGGTCTATCTAATTATTTTTTAATTTAAAAATTTGTAGATGGAAAATTAAAAATAAAATTTTAACCATATCTAAATTGCATCTAATTTGAGATTTAAAAGGAGAGTCCAAATAAAATTTATTTATTTGTAATTTAAAAATATTTAAATAGAAAATATGAATGAAATTTTTTAGCTTTATATAATTGGACGAACTTTAATATAGAATAAACTAAAACTGAAAAACTTATAGGACAAAATGTATTTTTATTTAATTATAAATATAATTTTTGTAATTTATTAATTTTTTTTCATCTTTACCAATTAAATCATGACATCAATTTTTTTTATTAAGAATTTAGAATGTACAATTAATGATGTAACAACTACAATATACATCTATATATATATATATATATATATTAAATAAATTTATATTATTATTTAATTTTAGGATAGAGATTTGTTTAAAATACGAATTATTTCCTATGATTTTGAAAACTACATCTTGTCTCTTGAAGTTTTAAATTTCATAATAAACTGCTCATTTTATTAAAAATAAATCAAATCAATTAATAATTTTTAATAATATTAGAAATATATTTCAATTAATAATTCAAGTAGTTTTATCATTGTATAGAAGACCAATTAGGAATTGAGATATTTGTAATTTTTCAAATTATAATAAACAATTTATATTTTAAACAAAATTCAAGAGATATGTTTGTAATTGATTACTAATTTTAAAATTTATTTTAAGTTATTTGTTCAGTCTATGCAGAACGACATACGCTAAGATGTGAGGAATAGGTGTATCGCATAATAATAATACTCCCTCCGTCCCAAAATATTAGTCCCTTATTCCATTTTTCATTGTCCCAAAATATTAGTCCCTCTTTATAAATCAAGTACAAAAATAATGTAAATTTCCTATTTTGTCCTTCTTTTAAATTAATAAACAATTTAAAAAGTACAATTATGACATTAATATTCCCAAAAAATGTAATATCAAAAGGGTAATTTTGGAAAACCAACTTTTTTCAAATGCAATAAGTGTACTACCAAAAAAAGTTGGATTCCCCAAAAGAGACCAATATTTTGGGACGGAGGGAGTAATAGTAGTGGTAGTAGCAGTCCTTACCAAAGAATCTGGCAGTTATTTCAAGATGCATAAGCATGTCCAACTCCAATTCCGATAGCCCCACACCTTGTTTCAGAAAATAACACAGAATCTCCCTCTGACCATTGGCAGCGGCCAAGTGAAGTGGTACATACCCATCCGAATTACGACTGTCTAGCAAGCTTGGGACTTTTCCCACTAGTAACTCAGCAGCCTTTAAATGACCAACAATTGCAGCTTCATGAAGTGCAGTATTCCCCTCTTTGTTCACTGTTGTCAAATCCAACCATCCACACTGCATAAGCTTCTTTACGAATTCTATTTTCTGCCCCGACATAATCGCTACCATCAGCGCCGTATCCTTGCTTTCTGTGATTCTAGCAGTCTCTGCTCCTCGATGTGACTTGTAAAATTTTTCCACTCTCTCCCAATCGCCATCCAGTATTGCTCGGTGCAGTGGCCGGTATTGGCTAAAATTGACTTTTTAATTTTTTCAAGTTAATATCAAACACGCATACACAAAAATGAGATTTTAATTTAATTAAAAGTGGTTAGGAATGAATGGAAAATTATAGCATTTTCAACTTACGCTGACGAGTTCCATACGATGCGCGATTGAATTCGCGAGAAAAGAACCTTGTGGAGTTGCAGCAGTTTGTTCTCATTTTTTATGTTTTTCTAAACTCTTCCTACTACTCGAATATATTATTGATATTTGCTACCTCAGTTTTGTTTTTGTAAATCTATTTGGAGATTCATTCAACCTCATCGTATTTATGCTCAGTTTCACCGACAAGTCTGTTTACTTTCTAAAAGTCAACCGCACCCTATGAAAATCATCCCCAAGCTTCCTTGCCAGCGTCCTTCTCTTCCAAACCCAACATCATCACCACTACCGCCATTTTCTTCTCTCTTTAAACTCTTAAACTCGAGTTTGCCATTGTTGGCGATTTGCTTAAACAAGTGGAACTTTTTCATGGATCAAAACAACTAGTATGTAACAAAATCATCAAATCTTAGCCCCAAAATTGTGCATGCAGAGCTTTAAAGCTTCAAATATTACCTCGATTCAATACTGCATTTCAAGGATCGTGTATTTGAACCAACACATCATAAGTCAATTGAACGAAGTGAAATCGAGTGTGAGTACATACATAGCCACACAGATTGGAAGGACGAAATGCTTCAAACTAGCAAGCATCAACTCATATCTATATATGCATGCGTGTTTGTGTATTTCAGCACACAAATATGAAGCTTGAAATGAAGTGAAGAATTGAGTAGTATCTCCATTTCTTGATAACATATTTTCTTTTCAAGATACGGAGTTCATTTTTGTAAAGAAAGAGGTGGAAGAGGGAGTTACCCTATACGATTTGCAGAGAAAGCTTATGAAGCTACATGTTTAAAGACAAAAAAAGAGAAAGTTAGGGTTTGAAATTGTGATAAGGCACCACCTCCGCCACTTCGTCACCATCGGTATTGGAGGTGGCGATAGGCTTGAATCCCTGTTATCATCATCTTTGTCCGAATCACCGCGGAGATTGGCAATAAGATTGGCAGAGATTTGGCTTCACTTGTTGAGAAATTTTTTGCGGTGGGCACGGAGCTTCGTAACGTTGCCATCGATACGGCCTTGGAGTAAGACAAATAATAACTGAGCTCGAAGAGAGAAGATCTCAGGTCTGAGATCTGAGATCATACGGTAACAGTGGTGGAGAGGTTGCTTCGACGGCAGCCATGGTAGAAAATGAGGAGCGAGAAATCATTGGTCCTATTTGGTAGGGCTTATTCCCAGTTTATTTTAGCTTTTAGTTTAATTTAAATTATTTTGATGTGTTTGGTTCAGCTTAACAATACAACTTATAGCTTTTTGTAAGTCAAAATTCAACTTATTCTTTGAGTGGGGGAGGAAAAGCTTAATTTATAAGTCAAAAATTAGCTTATGGTCACAGTTATAAGATATAAGCTGTTAAGTTATAAGTTATAATCACTTTCCCACAACTCTACCAAACGGGGCCATTGTCAGGAAACCCTAGAGAGAGAGAGAAAAAGAGATGTAATATTGGCCCGGCGCGACCCATTCAAGACTGGGCTTAGGCCTGCCCAAGCGGGTCTCGTGGGCTCCCACTTTTTTAGAGAGCCGAGTTGGGCTGGCCTATGGGCCGAAAAGTGGGGCCCAAGCCCAAGCCCATGTCCACTCAGAATAGGGTTGGCGAACCTGTGCTCGGGTCGTAAGTCGGGCCTAGGCGAGACTTTTTTATTTTTTGGAAAAATGAATGATAAATACATTATCTATGTAGATTATTTATTAGGGATAAAAAAATAAAAAAAAATTATACTAGAGTATTTTAGTAAAGATTAATGAGATTTTTGTTTGGTTATGCTTCATGGTGGTATTTAAATTTAATTATGTATGACTTATATTTTCTTTAATTATGAACTTATAACTAAAAAAATATGCAATTATGTAATATTTTTTCTTTTGAAATGAATAATTTTATATATATGAAAATGAAACTTGCAATATTACAATATTAAATTAATTATATAACATTTATTGAATGAATAATTTTTATTTCAAAATGAAATAAAATATTATAAAAATTTATATCATTAAATAAAATAGACGTAGATTATTGGTGTCGGTAGAGAAATTGCATCACTATAGGTCAATCCCAACTAGGTTGGCACCTATTAGCTTACCAATCATTTGCATTATACTCCACCTCAATAATCTAATAATAAAAAAATACAAAAATACAAAAAAAAACGTAATGCAATAATAAAAAGACAAATTGTTGATCAATTATCGGAGGAGATAGACATTTCAGTCGTGTTGGCTGAGGATATGCCATCCAAATCATTTTGAATTCGCTTATTTTCATTATAATTTTGTCTTCTTGTAAGCGTATGCATATGATTTCTGCATACCATCAGTGTCTCAACCATTTGGGATGAGAGCCTGCTGAAGTAATCGCTCAGCACTCGTCCATCTGCACTGTTTCTGAAGCAAATGTAGAAATAGGAACAGTTAATATATCACAGGCCATCTGTAAAACCACAGGTCACATAGTTTCGTTTTGTTTTCGCCATTCCAAAATCTCAAAATTATTGAAATTATCCCCTGACAGGCTTTCCAAATAATGTTGTAGTTCAGAACTACTTACGCTTGTATGTTAAGAAATTCTTTTAATTTTTATTACTGAAAAAACATTTAATCTCCTGCCTCGAGATGAGATTGTTAGTGTAGTGTGTGTAGGTGTATTTACAGATGCAATTGTCTTGTATTCTTCAAATAATCTATTGCATGTTTGCAAAATAGGGGCAATTTGTCTTTGATCAACGAAAATATGTTCTAAAAATTCTTGTAAAACAATTTCTTTACACCTAAGATCAATTGTTATGGTTAAACCTAAAAGACAATGAAAATATGTTCTAAAATTTTTTTTAAACCAACTTCTTTACACCTAGGATCAATTATTATGGTTAAACCTAAAAGATGAGGCAAATGATCAAAATATTTATCAAATTTTACTTTCATTGAAGTAATAATGGTTACATAATATTTATTATCCGTATATTTTATAAAAACTTTAATTATGTCTGCTAGCATATGTAAAACAAATGATAAAGTACTAATATATATATACAAGAAAATAATTTTGTTGAAGTATAAAAACTTTTTAAAAAGTCTTTATACAAGGCTACTTGGCACCAATTAAGTTCTGTGAGAGTCAGTACTCTTCCTATTGATGTTGTTGCAAAAAATAAATCTATTGCTCTTCTTTGTTCACAAGCTCTTTTCAACATATTATACGTTGAATTTCACCTACTATCTATACCTAAAATTAAATTTTTAAATGACACACTTTCTCATTGACAAATTTTTCTGTATTCTGAAATTCGATTAGCAGAAGGCATAATAGTAACAACTACATTTTTTATTACAAGTATAGAAGTCTCGTATACGTGCATAACTTCTTTAACAATGAAGTTTAAAATATGAGCACAACAACGAACATGAAATAAATCACCATTAACAAATAATTATAAAGTTGGTTTTAAATAGGCTACAGTTTGATTATAATATGCTGCATTTTCTGAACTAATTGTAAATATTTTATATTGTAAAGCCCATTCATATAATACATTTCTTACTTCTACACCATGCGAATGACCAGTGTGTGGAAGTTCAACTAATTTAATGAAATAATTCTTTTATTTAATTTTCAATCACTATCAATAAAACGTATAGTGATACATTGATATTCTAAACCATTATTTGACCACAAATTAGATGTTAAACAAACTCTTCCATTCAATTTTTTAAAGATATCAAATAATTTATTTTTAACATCCTCAAATTTCTTTAAAATCCTGTTTCTAGTAGTATTTCTTGAAAAACTTTGACATTTTGGTGCAAAACTTTCGTGAATCATTTTGGTAAAATCGATACATTCACTAGTAGTAAAAGGTTGTTATTTTTTAATAATATAATCAACTACAGAATTTTATGCACACATATGATCATATGAAAATGTTCGCAAATTACTAGTTGATGAAGCCCCTAATTACATTTGACTTCGAATATCAGGTTATTGACTTTGTAAATGTTTGTTAGCATACCTTTTTAGATGACTAGTATCCCTGCAGATGCAACACTAAGTAAATGTACACAATATTTACATTTTGCTTTAAATGTAATTGTACCATCAAGATTATTTATAGATATTTTTTCAAAATGTTCCCAAGCACTACTAGTTATGCCCCTAGATGATGATCCAATTGTTGGAAGAGGGATATTAGAAGGAGAATCAATAGATTCATGTTGTGTAGTATATGTATCAATATTGACATAAACATTAGGAATATTAGGATCTATAGTAATGTAAGTAAAATAATATATAAGAACTAACAATTAATTTAAATAATGTGTAAAAATAATGAGTAAAAAATAATAATTAATATATGTTCACAAATAATTAATGAAAAAAAAAGATTAGCTAATAAATTTAATTAAACTAATTAATGTTGCCGACTGGCGAATGTGACACAGAAATTAGCTTCTTCTGATGAAAGTTTCTTGTTGTACAATTGCAATTGCCAATTAAGGATGACATTTCAAAATTAATTGAGAGTTGAGAGAGATTGAGAGTTTAAGAGAGAGAATTGTTTGTGAGATTTATTTTGGAAAATGAGAGATATTTATAGAAGTTTAAAAGTTTGAAATAAATTTATAAATAAATAAATAAAAATTACCATTGTGTTAAACGGTAATATGACCGTTAAATTATTTTTATTATTAATATTTTTTTTAAAGTCTGCAGAGGTGCAGACATTTTTTATTTTATTTTTTTCATTCATTGCAACTTGATGTGAATTATGCATGACATTGACAAGAGGTCAGGGGGTAGGCGGGCGGCACTAGGGGAGGTAGTAGCTGAGGTGCATAATTTTATTTTATTTTTCATTCATTGCAACTTCCAATGATGATGTGAGTTAAGAGTGATGGATGAAAAAGGAGGGGGTAGGCGGCACTGGTAAGGGGCATCATTAGCTCTGTCTTCTTGCAATGAAATGATCCTTTTTTTTTTTTTTATATATATACTGTTGTTGCAAGATAGCTGAGGTGCATAATTTTATTTTATTTTTCATTCATTGCAACTTCCAATGATGATGTGAGTTAAGAGTGATGGATGACAATGGAGGGGGTAGACGGCACTGGTAAG